TCAATTTTCAATTTTGAAAAATCCTGCGTACGCCACTGCAGACAAAAGAAAAAAAACTTATTAACGATAATAATGATGATATAAATAATAACAACATTAAAATTTCAGTGCAGTCAAACAGAGGTCACGACTGAAACCAGCCTTCAGACCATCCAAGGTGGACATGAAAGACTGGGCGAATTATCTTCAATTTGTAAGAAGGGTATTGAATTAAGTGAAAGTTTGACAAAATCTAGTGATGATCCGAAAATTATAGTTGACGGTCGAAAATATAAGTTCCCTTGTGGGAACTGTGATAAGCCAGTGAAATGTAATCAACACGGCCTTCTGTGTTCTTATTGTAAAAAATGGTTTCACACTAATTGTCAAGCTATCAGTTTTTCAGAGTACCGCAGGTTATATTATGAATGCCCTGATGAGAAGTGGAATTGTTTAACATGTTGTCTGCCATCTTTTTGTGAATCAATATTTACTGACGATTGTTTAGAGAAAGAAAGCCAAAACGAGGATAGACTAAAAGAAAACTATTTTAAGGTAACGCGCGTTACACCTGAAAAGCAAGCGATAGCAAGAATAATTCAGCCAAACCTCAAAGATGAAAACACTTCTCTTTTTCAAGAATTTGAAGAAAAGTTTAAAATTAAAGGTCTTCATTTTTTACACCTTAATGTGAGGTCTATTCTAAACAAGATATCGGAACTTAGAATTCTTTTTAAAAGAAAAAAGGTGTCTATTATTGCTTTCACTGAAACATGGTTAAACAATTCCATAAATGATGAAGAAATTGAAATAGACGGATATAAAATCATACGCCATGATCGATCCTCTGGCTCTGGAGGTGGTGTATGTTTCTATATCAAAAATGATATTGCATTTAATATTATGGATGCTATAAGTACTACGGAATCCCTGTGGATAAATTTGCTTATAACAAGATCAAAACCAATTGTTGTTGGCGTTCTGTATCGACCTCCGAAAAACAATTTGTTTATCGAGAAATTGTCCAATATTCTTGATACATTAAAGAAGGATGACGAAATAATTCTTTTAGGAGACATGAATATTTGTCTTCTTCGCAAATCGCCACTGGCTAAAAAATATATTGACTTGTTGAGTCTTCATGGGTTTAGTCAACTCATTAAAGAGGCAACACGCGCTACACCTACATGTTCTTCTCTATTGGATCATGTTGGTTGTACCAAAGAAAATAAAATAAGTCAAAGTGGTGTCATTGATCTAGGTATTAGCGACCATTATTTTACTTTCTGTACACGGAAAAATGTAAGACTGGCTATAGGTCATCATAGGACTAATGATATCAGATCCATGAAAAAATATACAGAAGAGTCTTTCAATCTTCAACTATCTGTTGTTGATTGGTCACGAATAACTGACTGTACAGATGTAAATGAGGCATGGTCAATATTTCAACATGTTTTTATCTCAAATTTGAATATGATAGCGCCACTGAAACGGATAAGAATAAAACAAAGATCAGAAACTTGGGTGACTAAAGATATTCTTTCCCTAATTCAAGAGAGAAATATAGTATACAAAAAATGGAGGAAAAGAGCAAAAGATGAGAAGCTCTATAAAAGATACAGAGTATTAAGAAATATGGTCCAAAGAGAGGTGAAAAAGGCTAAACTCGTTTACTTACAAAACAAGATAGAAGAAAATAAACAAGATTCGAAAAAACTTTGGCAGAATCTAAAAAGCTTAGGATTGAAAAATAAGAAGCGAAAAGAACAAGAATCTGTCATTAAAATTGATGGGGAATTATGTCATGATAAGATGGCCATCGCTGATGAATTCAATTCTCATTTCACAAATGTGGCTGCCAAATTAGTAAACAAACTCCCCCCTTCCAAAGACTTTTTCAGCGCAGACAATGATTGTATTCGTGACTTTTACGAAAGAAAAGGTGTACGTGAAAACAGCTTTGAGTTATTACCAATCAGTGAACAATTTGTTTTCAAAGAGTTACGTAAGTTGAATGTATCAAAAAGTACTGGGTTAGACTTGATTCCAGCTAAATTTCTAAAAGATGGTGCGAAGGTTTTATTTAAGCCTCTAAGTTACTTAATGAACCTATCTATCTTGACGAGTACTTTTCCAGAGGATATGAAAATAGCAAAAGTGACTCCACTTTATAAAAAGAAAGATAAAACTGATGTTAGCAACTATAGACCTATTAGTGTTTTAAGCGTAGCATCAAAGATTCTAGAAAAATCGGTCTGTGTTCAAATTGAAAGATACTTCAAAGAAAATGATATAATTTATGAATTTCAATCTGCTTTTCGACATGATTATTCGACTGAAACATGTCTAATTCATTTGACTGATTATTTGAGGAGAGAAACTTCCCAAGGGCGCTTTGTTGGTATGGTGCTCCTTGATCTGCAAAAAGCTTTTGATACAGTTAATCATTGCGTCTTATTGAAGAAGTTACAACTAATGGGTTTTGATAAGGGAAGTTTAGATTGGTTTAGATCCTACTTATCTAATCGGCACCAAGTAGTGGCCATTCATGATATTCGTTCCAAACTAATGCCTATAACTTGCGGTGTTCCTCAGGGAAGCATTTTAGGCCCAATTCTATTTTCAAGTTATATAAATGATATGTGTATTTGTATAAAAGACTTCAAACTATTATTGTACGCAGATGACAGCGTACTACTCTACTCAAATCCTGATCCTAAATATATTGAGGAAAAGCTCAGTGAACAGCTGTCTACGTGTGTCGATTGGATGACTGATAATAAGCTTTCTTTACACTTGGGAAAAACAGAAAGCATTTTATTTTGTTCTAAAAGTAGTTCTAAAAAGTCATTTGAATTCAAAGTGACACACAATAATCAAGCAATCAAGAGAAAAGAGTCTGTGAAGTATTTAGGCATTGAGTTGGCTAGCGCAATTTCATTTTCATCTTTAGTAGAATCAGTTGTAAAAAAAGCAAATCCTCGTCTGAAATTTTTGTACAGATATCAAAGTTGTATGGATTTAAAAGCAAGACGTACACTCTGTTTTGCTCTTATTCAATGTTTATTTGACTATGCTAACCCTGCATGGTATAGTAACATAAACAAGTCAGATCAAAAGAAGTTGAAGATTATACAGAACAAAATGGTGAGATTTATCAACTGTTCTGGTCCAAGAACTCATGTTGGCTACAGCGAACTTTCTAAAGCTGGTTTTCTTGAAGTCGACCAAAGATCAAAACAACTCGTATTGCATCATGTGCATAAAATATATCATACTAGGTCGAATCATTATATTCGATCCAACTTCGATCTTGTTACTGACGTACATGATTGTAATACAAGAAATAGACGATTCAACTTTAACTTACCTGAAAGAGTAGGTAGTATTGGAAATTCGTTTTATTACAATGCCATAAAACATTGGAATTCCCTTCCCAATGGTGTAAAAGAAATAGGAAACTATGATCATTTTAAGAGGAAATTAAAGGAATACCTAATACTTGACAGTCAGAGAAGAGAAGTGAATGACATGTTATATGATTGAAATTTTTATTCTTCTGTCGGTTCATACTTTTTCATGTTGTATATACTTATGTTTTCGTACGTTATAGAAATTCTACAAATTCATCATTATTTTCCTCTTCTTCCGGCTTCTCCTCTTTTTCTTCTTCTCCTTCTTCTTTTTCTTCTTGTACTTAATATCATTTCTATCATCAGTTTAATGTTGTTATTATTATTATTATCTTTAATAAGTAGTTCTTTTAATTTTCTTATCTGTCTGTAAATATTACTATTTTAACTTATTAATTTTATACATGTCTGTAAGGGACCCCACTGGAAATAAGCTCTCGAGCTTTCGTGGGTTATCCTGTTAAAGCTTACTTTTTTTGATCTGTTATTATTGTATATTGTTGTATGTTGGAAGCTTGTCGAATAAAAATCAATCAATCAATCAATAATAATGATAGAAATGATGATTAGTATACAAGAAAAATAAGAAAATAAAGAAATTGAAGAAGAAGAGAATGAAGAAAAAGAAAAAGCCCCAAAAGAAGAAGAAAATTGAAGCCCCCAAAGAACAAGGAGAAGAAAGAAAAGGAGTCGTCGTCGTCGTCGTTGGAGGAGGAGGAAGAATAATAGGCAAATTAAAGAGTATGAACCTGGCAGAGAAAAGAAAAGTGTTCTGTATTCAAGCTATTTCGATCATAAAACATATGTGATTCGCTTCTCTCCTCTGAGTCTCAAGTCTCAAGTATAGGTAGGCCTATTCCTTTAGTTTCCTTTCTAAACATGAGCAAAGTTTTCTATTTCCTTTAATTTCCTCTCTGAAATGAGCAAAGTTAGGCTATTCCTTTATGCCTGTTTTATAGAAGAAGAAGAATAGAAGAATAGAATTTATTGACTCATTCGACCCCCTTCTGGGGTATGAGAGTACACATGTACATGTCATGCCCAATGTCATGATAATGATACATAGTAAAGAATACAAACATAGCTTAATTATACAAAGAATACAGACTACAACAAAACAACAATATAAAAGTATAACGATAAATAGGAACGATCTAAACCTAGCATATGCTAAACATAAATACAATGTTCTACAAAATGGCAAGCATGCATGAAAAGTGGAGAATACCACAAGAACAAGAATAATAGAAATACAAACACGAAGGAAAAAAAGAGAGAAAAAAGAAAAAACTACATTGTCCTATAACTAATCAAACGAATTTCCAGTGTACCCCCCCCCCCCCCCCCCGATCTCTCTACCACTGTACCAAATACAATGTCCACTTCATTAGTAGCAATCGGAAACACAGAACTGTAAAATACGACACAATACGTACATAACGTGAGCATTCTGCAGTAGTTGTATGTGTATATTGTAATTATATTTAAACGTCTTTGGTATAATCATATCGGCTAGAACTGGAAAATGTATCGACCTACGTGCTCGCACCTCGGCTCGGTACTGCACATGGCTAGCTCGTAGCCGGCCGTGCGCGCACAGCATGCACGCGCGCAATAAATTTGCAGGCCGGTTTGATATCCACAGAGCAAATATGGGTGATACCACAGGAAATGACACTGCTTCTCAAAACACTGAATTACCCGAAACGCCTCAAGAAAATGGAATGGAAACCGATCAAGAGTAAGGATTCTGAAGATATTTTGCTACCGAAAATCTTGTACTTGATTTTGATATATCGTCTACTTAACCTTAGGCTTGCCATGCTTACTCTGCGAGTTCGTTTCATGACTATCTTCTACACTACGCCTACCTAGTACTGCCTACGACTCGTACGAGGCTAGCTACGGTAGTGTTATTTACTCGATCGAGACTAGACGTGTAGATCTACATGATAGCGTAACGTAACGTTTTTAGATTTCTAGATCTTTCTAGAATCCAGACATGCTGCTAGACTAGACTCGAGCCTAGGTCTACAGTCATGACCAGGATGACAGTGTTCTACTTCTACTAGGTCTAGGGTAGTTCTAACTTTATCTTAATGTCATGACAACGCGCATTGATTATGATAACGATCAAATTGTGTCGGTTATGACGGAAGCCACAAAGAATTTTAGATACGTCTCTGAACAAGCGCCGAACTCTGTACATTGACCGCTGTACAGTGAGTTTACGCACTCTCATTAGCCGATCCGCTCAAGTGGCTTCGAATTAAAGTGAGAGAGGGCCTACTTAACTTAAGGCAGCAGTAGGGGCGCTGGTCCGAGAATGAGGATCGTTCTCATAAACGCAGAAAAAATGCGCCCTCAAAAAAAAACGTGGACTAGGGTCTAGCTCTCATTTTACTCACTCCCGTAACCACTATGACAGGAACTCAAGAAACAACACTTGCACAGTATTTGCAGTTCAAGTAACTTTATCTCGTTCCTTGTGACGTACCTGTCGCAACGACAGCTCAACGCCGACTCACTAGTCACTGACATCTCACGATTTATATTTCACAATTAACTATAAGTATAACGCCCTCTACATCTTACTAAATTATTTGACTAGTTATGCTACAATACCAAAAGTATGACATTTCAGTCAAACCCTCTAGATCTAGACCTATTTCATAGTATTTGTTATGATTTTTTCACAAAGTATTTCAATAAAGTTTAAGTCTTACAAAAATATTTTTTAAGTTTGAACAATTCTCAATTTCGTCAGATTTAAGGTACCTTACTAACTAGAAATTTATTTTGAGATGTTCGTTGATTTTTCTATTTGTGTGCAATGCCGTGGGTGCGTAAGTAATGTATGAAGCGCGTCGCCTGTTTAAAGCAAGATGTGTCAAAATCTCTGTGGTGTGACATAATTGACTTTGCCATGGAACTTAAGGTGGCTTAAGTTGAGTAGGTCCTCTCTCACTTAAATCCGAAGCCACTTGAGCGGATTGGTCAGTGAGAGCACGTAGACTCACTGTACATCGTTCAATGCGCAAAGTTCTTCGTGTGATGCACTTCACACATACCTGAAGCGAAAACATATAATAGAAATATCAAAGAAAATTTCAGAATAAATTTCCAGTTTGTACCTTATGACGAAAAATGAAAATTGTTCAAACTTTAAAATAGTTAAGTAACACTAACTGGTAACTAAGGCTACGACTGGTAGTCGAATGCTCGAGTACCCGCACACTACTCGGGTACGATTTCTCATACCCGAATATTCGGGCGCAAAAAAAAAAAAACTGTCCAGGCCGACGCTTAGCCGTGCCAGGGAGAGCGGCGGCCGCTGGCATGGGACCGTCGGTAAATAGTTTCACAACTCAAGCACTGTCAAAATCACCACTCAGAAACTGGGACCAAATGTCCAGATTTCTGTTTGGACTCGGAGGACAATGGATTATTCTGCCATCTTTGGTTTTTAAAACAGCATTGTTTACTGTTATTATTATTATTGAATCGGCGCCTTCAACTGCAACTCGAAATAAAATTGCATGCGTGTTATTAGACCGAAAGCTTCAGTCTCTATAATCGTCGGTTGTTCCACTGAGACTACGTCTGGCTCCACTAGACCTCCGGTTATAGAGACAGAACGATCGCCTATGCCAGCCCGTGTTGAACTTATTCCGCTAGATTTTAGCCGCTAGGCCCCTCCCACAAACTTGCCACGGCCGTATTGTTATGCCCCCAAAATCCCCCAAAATGTCATTTTACCTCGTTCATTTCCAATTTTAAATTAGGCCTAGGCTATAATACATCGGTTCCACTTACTAACTTGATTGATATAATCCGTTTAATGGTCCCTTTTAAGGAAATTATCGGTCAAAATCGACATCCATGTTGAAAATCTTGCAAGCCGTGTTAAACTCTCGCTGCCGTCAATCTCATCCCTTCTAGTCTACGCCGAAGGCAAAATGATTATTAAGGAAAAACTGTGCGCCATCTACACGTTCGTAATGGCGTTATCACAGTTTTTTCCTTCATAATCATTTTGCCTTCGGCGTAGACTAGAAGGGATGAGATTGACGGCAGCGAGAGTTTAACACGGCTTGCAAGATTTTCAACATGGATGTCGATTTTGACCGATAATTTCCTTAAAAGGGACCATTAAACGGATTATATCAATCAAGTTAGTAAGTGGAACCGATTTATTATAGCCTAGGTCTAATTTAAAATTGGAAATGAACGAGGTAAAATGACCTTTTGGGGGATTTTGGGGGCATAACAATACGGCCGTGGCAAGTTTGTGGGAGGGGCCTAGCGGCTAAAATCTAGCGGAATAAGTTCAACACAGGCTGGCATAGGCAGTCGTTCAGTCTCTATAACCGGAGGTCTAGTGGAGCCAGACGAAGTCTCAGTGGAACAACCGACGATTATAGAGACTGAAGCTTTCGGTCTAGCGTGTTATGTACTCTTACTTAAGGTACACAGATGAATACTCACGACAGATAATAGCACACGTTTGATACTCGTGGTATAAGATTCCAAAGCAACTTTATTGCGCAAGGTGCATGCGCAGCTTTACAATTGTGGGTCATCGTATGACGTCATCCATATATAACATCTCTCCCTCCTTAGTTTTAAAGCCCCTTTTAAAATTATAAGACAGTGATTGTAAGAACAACAAATATCGTAGGTATGAAATGTTAGGTAATCCAAACTATGATTACCTCGAATACTAGCATTAAGCCATATGTCATTAACAGTTTGCAAATCCACTTTCAACAAGTTGAGTATACTTTTACTTGTACATTAACTTTATATCAAATGATTTCTATAGACTTGAAAATTGACCAAATGAGTAAAGGCATCGATTTCTTTTATTGACTATTATTTCAAATATGAAACAAGTGAGATATGGTTTTATTACTTAGAATTAAAACATGATTAGCAGTTTGCATCAGTCCAAAATTATTCAAATCCATAGTAATTAGGTTTTCTTCGCTCTCGTCTAGGGTAATCCTTTCAACCGGCATCGCGATTGACGTCGCGGTTTTCGTCGAAGTCGTCTTCGCGAGCTTCGCGGATGTCCACTTGATCTTCGTGAATATCTTCGCGATCCTTATTATCGTTATCAGAATTGATAACATCATCTTCATCGAGTGTAGGGACAACACCTTCGTTCGCGTAGTCTCGTTTCCGCGCGGTCGATGATGAGGAAACTCGACTTCGGAGTTGGTCAACATGACGCTTCCATTTTAGTGTCGCACCGTCGACACTGACGTTGACCACATATGATACTGGACCGGTACGGTCGGTTATTTTACCGGGTACCCATTGGTTGCCTCGAGCATAATTTCTCACAAGGGCGTCGTCGCCTACATTGAATTCGCGAAGGGCGTGAGTAGTGTGAGCGATCTTTTGGGCGAACTGCTTTTTCTCTACGGTTGCGTTCACATCTGGCAGAACTGACGTAATGCGAATACGCAGTTTGCGATTCATTAGCAACTCTGCCGGTGATTGCTTTGTAGTAGCTTGCGGTGTTGTACGGTAACTTAACAGGAACCGCGATAACCTAGTGTGAAGGGGACCACTCATTTTTCGGAGGGCTCCTTTCACGTTTGTTGGCTCTGGTGCCTTGGTGATTGCTTCCACCTTGTCCCCCGTCGAATGTAGACCCTTCGTAGTGACAGTATGGCCGAGGTAATCAACCTCGTCCTTGAGAAACGCACATTTCTCCTTCTTCAAGCGTAACCCTGCTTCGTGAAGAACATCCAATACCCGCTTCAGGTTCTTTAGATGTTCTTCCGTCGACTCTCCTGTGATGAGCAGGTCATCTAAGTAAACTGCCACGCCTGGAATGCCAGCCAGCACTGATTCCATAGTCCGCTGGAACACTGAGGTATTGATGGTCACCAACTCCCTCTATTTCTCCGACAGGACCAATTGTTGATATGCGTGTGAGAGGTCCAGTTTTGAGAATTGCTTTCCGTTTGCGAGCCTTGCAAACAGCTCCTCTACTCGAGGTATAGGATAGGTGTCGGAACGAGCGGCTGTTTTGTAGTCGCCACAAACCCTGATTGATCCGTCTCCTTTTACTACAGGAACTATTGGAGCCGCCCAGTTCGAATATTGAACTGGTTCTATGATGTCATTCGCTAGTAGGCGATCCAGTTTCTCATCCAGCCTATTTCGCAGTGCGAACGGCACTGGTCGGGCCTTTAGGAATCTCGACGAAGCTCCTTCGTCGATATCCAGGTCAACTTCCACACCTTTCAACTTCCCGAGTTCTGGTGCGAACAACTCCTTGTAGTCTGCGATCAAACTTGAGACGTCATTTTCGACTTTGACCAAGTAGATTTCTCTCCAATTCAACCTAATGACGTCTAGCCAATCTCGTCCCATGAGGTTTGGCCCACCCCCTCTCGCCACGATTAGCAACACTCGTACCGTCTGGTTTTCATAGCAAACGGTGACTTCACATTCCCCCAACAATATCAACTAAATGTTTGGTGTAAGTGCGTAGGAGGGTTGTTGAGTCATTGAGAATGGGTCTGTCCTTCTCACTCCAGTGTGAGAGCCACGTTTCTTCGTTTATTATGGTAACCGCTGAGCCAGTATCTACTTGGAAGTTAACTTCCTTTCCTTTCACAGAAAGTTTCGTCATGTACGGCGGAGGTTTTGCTTTATTCACGGAATGTTGAAACAACCTGTATGTTTCGCTTTCCTCCTCCTCTTCCTCCTCTGCTATTTGATAGGTGCGGGACTTGTTGGAACTGGCCTGTTCCCGCTGCTGAAAAGTGACTTTTCTTTGGTCCTTTTTCGTTCCCCTGGCTTTGCAAACCGCTAAGCCCTAAGACCCTTTTTGCCGCAATGGAAACAGTCTTCATCTATCGCTGGACAGTCCGCGCCTTGTTTGTGGGGTCCTTCACCGCATCGACCACACCTAGAATGTTTCTCTGAAAACTGGCGTTGCGTTGGCATACGACGGCCACCAGCAAAAGCGATTTTGTTTACCATGTCGCTTCTCTGATTTTGTTCTCGTAGATCCGCCATATTTTTATCTGCCAACTCCATTGCCAAGGCGATGTCTTTTGCCTTCTCGAATGTTAATGTCGGCTCTGCCAATAATCGTCTCTGTATACGATCATCCGCCACCCCGCACACAATTCTATCTCTCAACATTTCATCCAAAATGGTTTCAAACTTACATTCGATTGCTACTCGTCGCAGCTCTGCAATATAAGTCGAAATTGATTCCTCCGGCTTCCTAGCACGACTGTTGAACTTGAACCTTTGAACAATCACCAAGGGCTTTGGATCCTGATGGTCAATCATTAATTTAACAAGTTCTTGGAAGTCAACTTCCCCCGGCTTTCTTGGTGCTGTCAGACTTGACATCAACTTGTAGGTTGAAGCTCCACATACACTTAGTAAGATGGATCTCTTTCGTCCCCCATCCACGATGCTGCATCGAAGTAGTGCCCCATACGTTCAATGTACTGGGACCAACTCCCTTCGTCCTCCCGAAATTCACCAATTGTTCCGAAAGTAGCCATTCCTGGGTATCAAAGCTTTACCAAGAAGTAGAATAAAACACAAAGTTTATCCTCGTCGCCAAAATAGTTGTTATGTACTCTTACTTAAGGTACACAGATGAATACTCACGACAGATAATAGCACACGTTTGATACTCGTGGTATAAGATTCCAAAGCAACTTTATTGCGCAAGGCGCATGCGCAGCTTTACAATTGTGGGTCATCGTATGACGTCATCCATATATAACAATGCGTTTTTGGCGATACTGGGATACTGCACCAGTGGTGGCAAATTTTTTTTTTTTTTTTTAAATAAAAAAAAATTATACAAAATTATAAAAAAACACAGCGTCTGAATATTTGAGTATTTGCTTGTAAGCCTGGGAGTGTAATCGGGTACCTCATTACACTGTTGTGCACAGCCTTACTGGTAACCTTAAAAAAAATGCTTAACCTTTTAAGGATGCTGAAAGATTAATAACAAATAGAGGGTTTGACCGAAATATCATAATTTTGGTATTGGATGAAACAGAAAATGAGGGGATGCTACGCTTAAAACAGCCTGTTGAATGACTAAAGACAATTCTTATGATTTGTGTGTTGATTACAATTATTTTTCAGTCTTGCAGAGGCCAAGAAGAATGAAGGAAATGCCTGGTATAAAAAGAAGGAATACCATCAAGCTATCAAACATTACTCCGAAGCAATCAGTAAGTGCACCGAACTGAACATTATTGTCTGATCATGATCTTCATTTGCATGGCATTGCATGATCAGAAAATTTGATGATTTATAGCTTGTCTTTTTGAAATAATCCCTCAAGTTCAAAAATATTTTGTTCAAACATGTATTTTTGGAAAAAGAGTAGGATTATCCTCTCTATAATAGTAATGGGAGAATTATTTCATTTGTTTGCTTCTGCCCACAAAATGTGGTGTTGGAAGAGGTCAGTTGACCTGAAATTTAGAGTGTGACTTTATTAAAGAAAAAAATTGAATCATAATAGTCCAGTGCTTTTAAAGAGGGAAAATGAAATAAATCGAGTTTTAACAAATTATATAGTTGGCTTCATCAAATTGGCAAAATCTGTAATGTCACTGTCACATAGTGCCAGACAACTTCCCTGTTTGTTTCAACACGCAAAGTGACTAAAATGTCAATCTTCCAAAATGTATAATTTAGGGGAGTCTTTTCTTTTTAAAGGACTTATGATAATATGATATCAATAATATATTTTGAGGTTTTTTTTGTTTTGTTGCCATTCTGAGTTAAATATGTTACATACATGTAAGACATACCTTTGCAAACTATATATGAATTATATCCATAATGAATGAAGTTATGAACTATGAATTATATAATTCAAAGAAATTGGATCAAAGCACAATTTGGGTGATATGGACTACTGTAATATATAAATAATAACTCCATGAGACAGTGTACTGTGCTGGTTCGATGGCAGAAATACCAAAATACTTTTTCAAACAACTTTAAATGGGCATGGGTATAAAGTCGGGCACGTTGCTGAGAAGAAGAGTTTAACTGTATAGCTGCTTGGTGCTGATCAGCGGTCAGTTGCTTGACTTCTTAGAGGCATACTGTAGCCTGCCTGTCTTGTTTTAAATAGGCAATTGCTACCAAACTTGATGTGAACAATCAAAATATGGTTTTCTTCCTAGATTGCAAATTGCTGGAGGCATGCGAGACAGCATATATTGTTTCAGGTCTGTCTCATAAGTCATTTATTACATCTTTGACATTTACAAGCTGCTATTTCACTAGTCTATTTGCAATGAAATACATCTATTATTGTGTTATTTTCTGCCTCAGAAATATTTCCAACCTGTGCAAGCTATTACACCAATAGGGCAGCTGCCTACATGATGCTGGACAAATATGCAGAAGCACTACATGATGCTCAACATGCCATATCACTAGATGATCAGCTAGTTAAGGTAAGTGTCTTAAAGGGAATGCAAAACTTGTAGTTACTTGCGCCCTCTATACAACCAACAATGCTTAAGCGGTTAGCGGTACCCGTTGAACCCCTCATGGTCCCCTTTTTCTTATGTTAAAGGGAGTGTAGCTTGGCAAATTCTGGGTAAGGCCATCTACGTCTTTTGGACAACTGCACCTAAATGGATGGACTTGATTAACGGTAGTCAGCCACTTAATCTCTACATGGTCAGCGTTCGCGAAGCAGACCAAAGTTTTCCTCACGCTTCAGTTTCGCATATATGTTGCACGCACTTGATTGCTGCAGTCTTGTCGTCTGTAGTCGACTTATTCCCCATTGGTCCCAAGTCAGGCCACGGGAAAGACATGTAGTCTCGGTAGGCTACACTCCCTTTAATTGAGAGCTGATTTGATCAGATAACCACCTGCCAGTTACCACGCAGGGAGGTCTAATCCCTCCTGCCCAAACTAGTGTAGATAGGCTTTAAGGAACATATGTATGTGGTAATAAGTCAAATCCTTGGAATGATTTGAAGCCCCAGTATACTCCAAAGCAATCAGCACTTGTATACCAGGGGCAAGCCTAGAAAAAAGCGGGTGCAGGGCGCAGGGCGCATATTTGCGCTTGTATAATAATAATAATAATACATAGGATTTATAAGGTGCCAAATCCTAACTAGACGGCCAAAAAAATGAATAAATGAACAAAGAAATAATACAATATCTCATTTCTTCCCTGTTGTTAACTTTCCCGCTCACTTTTTACTGCATAATTGTGCAAAGCAGACAGATGCTTTCTAGAGCTTGCCTAATTGTTGAGGAATGTTTACATACATGTACATCATTTTAAACCTTTTCTTTTCTTTGACAGGGACATCTAAGAGAAGCAAAATGCCAGCTTGCTCTAGGATCAGTGGATGCAGCCATTAGAGCTCTTCAGAGAGTCACTGACTTGGAGCCTACTAACAAACAAGCTCTTTCAGAGGTGAGATGATACTGGCTGTGTTCACAAAATATTATAGCCCAGATTCATGCTTTTCCTAAACATTTAGTAATAATTGTTTTAACATCTCACTCATAAAAAGGAATACCGGTATTTGCATAAGGGTTTAATATATACAGGTTGTTGGAGGTTTATGCAATTTAGGTATAATTAAAGGTAATGACAAGTTTTGATATGGACTTCTGTTCAAATGAACATTTTAGAAGCATATCCGATTTCACAATATTCAATGATCGTTGTCTCGGTCGAAATCAAGTCTAAAGTTATGATAAAGTCTAATAGACTCTTATGTTGTATAGTTCCCTCTCAAGACTGGTAATACTTTAGCTTTAAAACAATGTTTCTTGACTACAATCGACCGATTTCCGTCTGGAAATTATATATCAGAACTGCATATTCTATGATTGTCATGGTCGCAGCTACCATGGAATGGCCTTGGGCGCTAATTGAAATATTTGAAATTTACCTGGAGCACCGCTAAATTTTGATAACCGGTATTCAATTTCTAGAAAGCAGAAGTGTTATAGGGGCTAAATTATCTAGTTCTTATAAAAACATCCACAGGGGCATCCAAATATACATGTATAACAATTTTAAAGAATTACTATCCATCCAATTTACAAAATTTCCCTAAACTTTGCATTATATTTAAATGTCTTATTTTTCTTTTCCTTTAAAAAAACAAAACAAGATGAGAGCTGCAAAGACTGTGCAGAGTCATGATGCAGCTGGTTTTAAAGCATATGACAAAGGAGACTTTAGAAAGGTATATATATGCCTGTCTGTACAGTGTGTGTTCAATGTCTAAGCTCTTATTTGAGCTTCAATGTCCTCAATTTATCTTTTCAAGACTGGAATTTTGAAGGGCTGAATCCTGGAGTCTTAATTGATTTGTCGCTTCTGCTAGAAATTGTATTTAAACTGATGCAGTGGTAAATTGAAAGGAGAACAACTGGCATGTGACACCCCTCCCCCACCCCTCCCCCTCCAAACCCAATATAGCAATCTCCATTTAAGTTTTTCTTCTTCTTGTCTTCAACACAGTGCTTTCATTTCCTGGATCTGCCCTTGAACTAATGGTCCAACTAGGGATGGTGGAACTTTTTAAAATAACCCTCCCCACTTGCTTACCACAATGTCAGGAATTATATCCATCCGTATTAGTTTCTCAATTGATGCAATAATGAATATTGTTTATCAAATCATACATGATACGTATGGTAACAGATAATTGTGAAGATTTATAGCTCGCTGGAGAGAATATCATTTCTATTCTGTTGGAATTTACACTTTGAATGAGTAATGATTCAGTACTATTTGTATAACTTTGATTAAGTAGAAAATCCTGGTTGAGTTGAGTTGAGTCAAATTCTTTTATGCAAGTAATGATTCTCATCTTCATCTACATGTATCCCATTTGATTATACAGGTTGTTTTTGACATGGACAGAGCCATAGACCACTCACCTGCATGTGCAAAATTTAAGATAAGAAGAGCAGAGGCACTTCTCAAACTACGGAGATTCTCTGAAGGCCAGGAGGCTGTCAAGTTAGTACCCTGCTACAGAGATCTAGAGCTGATTAGTCCATAGCCTCACTTTTCATATTCCCTTGACTGGGTTGAACTTTGCTTTGTCTGTCCCACTAAAGGGATTGGGTATTTTTGTCTCAGATTCTGATCCTGGTTTTAACTGATGCTGCAATCATAATTAGGATAATAATATTCAGGAACCCCATGACTTTTATAAGCCAATCGTCTCTATGATTATCAAGATATTGATGATTCAAAATCATTTTCTTTTTTCCTAACTGTTTTTATAACACTACAGTCTATTAGGGAAAATGAGTATGGTAAAACCGGTCACTCAAAAAGTTTTACTTTTTTGAGGTACTTCATGATCATTTTGAAGTGCAAATTGTTTAGGGCTTCAATATTACACCATATCACAGACACTGATAACACATAGGGCTATGCATCCCAGATTTAACATTGTTAACAATGCCTTTAATACAAGTTTGAATGTCCCAGATAACTAATAGTTTCAATCAACAAATTTTTAGGTTTTTATTACATATTTGTGATTGTGGATACAGATTATCATACTATAAAAAAGAAATTGTGTATAATTTGGGGACAAGAAGACATATTTTCTGGTCATCTGTCCATGATGATATCTAGTTTTATTAACATTTGTTATTTTGTGAAAATGAATTGAGAAACCTTGAAGTGATTCCTACATGTTTATTAAAGCTAAAGACCAGTTATGGTCATGCGATTGCATTGTGAAAGAAACGTTGTGAAATCGATCGGAAAAGGTTGATCATCTAGCATAGATGTACTGCAAGGTTCTGGAATCATCAATATGATAAGAAATTTGGCCAAGTCTTCATAAAGTTAGAAGCACTGTACATAGAAAGATGTATATGGGACTACACACACGTGCACGACACGTGCATTTCATATCTCTCAACAGGCAAGAGATACACTAATTTACCAAATATATCAATTTGTATGCGGTTTCCCGTCAAAATTTTTATCATCATGTAATATTCAAAACATATTCTTTCACATGATTGGTAATAAAAGCTTCCATTTCATTTTTTGAAATTGGGGCGTTTCCAATACTGGTCTTTAGCTTTAAGCACTTAGTAATTTTTAGAATATTATCAATCAGAATATTCAGATTTTCAGGATTTTTTAGGACCTAAAAATTAAAAAAAATCAGATTAAAAAAAGTTCTGAAAGACCAATTTATTTGTTTTAATTTATATAATAATGATAAGATATTTCTATCCTTCTATATCTCTTTTGTGGCATGTATGCTCACCTCCTTTATGAGCAATAAATTGTACCAATCTTTTTTTTTCATTTACTTTTTGTTTACAGTGGTGTACTATATCAGAACCCCAGGGACGCTGATGCACTTTATGTTCGTGGCTTAGGACTTTATTATCAGGACAACATTGAGAAGGCTCAGCAACATTTCCAACAGGTTCTGAAATACTCACCGGATCATAGCAAAGCCAGATTAGCATTCAAGGTAAGATAGATCCTTGACCTATCTCATTGACCTATCTCTAGCTCCTGTGCCTTTGTCTGTCTGTGTATTATGTTTCCTTTTTGGTTTCTTTCTCTGTCCCTTGTTATACAACATATGCTATCATTACACTGGCCATACTTAGTATTATAGAACACATTCGCACTTTGCATGGTACTGTACATGCAGCATGCGTTATTGCTAATTTTCATAAAACAGCTGTATCGTCCACCGTGTGCGAGCTTGCATGTTGTGGATATGAGTGTGGCCATGTGCGAGTACGAATCGTGACCCTATACACTTTGTTTGAGATCCTTGCTTGTGCATAGACCAACTGTGAATGTTTATTTGGATTAACCCAGTCGGTAGAGCAGTGGTCTCGTAATGCGGTGACCCGGGTTCGAAAACAAGGCGATAAGCCAGTGCCCTTTGGTAAGGCATTAATCCTCATTACCAGGTCCCTCAGAGAGGACCTAAAGCCGCCGGCCGTCTGGTTGCTTACTTACAAGCATTTATGCTTTCTTAGCAGTTGGGTAAAATAACCACCACCATTCATTTCATTTCAATACTATTGTCTGTGGGACATGTGGAAGCTTTGTGTATGACTACTTGTTGGCATTCAGTGTCCAGTAATAATAATAATAATAGCTCACATTTATAATGCGCCTAATACTTTGTTTCTAGGCGCAGCACATGTTATTACCCCGGTCATCGAATTTAGGCTTACCCGCAACTCAATGTATGCACATTTTCCACTCCTTGGGCAGTACACATGCCAATGTATTTGGAGATCAAACTTTTTTGTGTTGCAATGCGTGCATAACCTAGCAGAGTGGAGCCCGACAAAACAAATAATCCAGTCCTAGAGACAATTGCCACTGGCATCCCTGATGTAAGCAATTTCATTGATAGCTGGAAATCCCGCCCCATTCCTCCGAGTTATAACCCCCACTTCCCCCCCCCCCCCTTTCTCTCTCTCCCTCTCATTCTCTCTCTCCCTCTCTTTCTCTCTCTCTCTCTCCTCTCTCCCTCTCTCCCTCTCTCCCTCTCACCCTCTCTCCCTCCCCCCCTGTCTCTCTCTCTCTCTTTCAGGCTCTCTCTCTATTCCTTGTAACCTAACCCTTTATTAAGCTTGTTATGAACTCAATGTCTCTGGGCTGCTAGCATATCAAGCTATGCTAAGGCTATAGCTATTCTGTATCATCACCTGTTAATGCACAATTATGTTCTTGAAAATGTATTTGTCAAACATTGTTATTAATGATTATAATAATAATATAGAGTATTTGTAATGCGCCAACTCCACATGACTAATGTGTTCGAGGCACATGGAGAAGAAAAACTATAAGTACACAAAAATGAACAACAATGTGACGTAAATCTAAATCTACTGGAAAGCCGCTTTGAACAAATGAGTTTTGAAGGCATGTGAAAAGCAATCTACACTTGAAATATAACAAATATGTTGTGGCAATTGATTCCATAGGTGAGGTCCAGCGTGTGCAAATGACCGAATGATTTTTTAGTTTTCGGAACAACAAGCAATTGAGAATCGTATGATCTTAAGCGTCTGGGAGGATTATAAGGCATCAACAAATTAATTATGAAGGTTGATACAGTAACAAATAACTATTTTGTCTATTTATTTTTCATTTTCATTTTTTTACAGAAATGTAGGGAGATGAGGACAAAGAAAGATGAAGGCAATGCGTTATTTAAGTCGGGCAAGTTCCAAGAGGCCTATGATGTATACACCCAAACGCTGGCTATTGATCCTCATAATGTCTTCACCAATGCAAAGCTTTATTGCAACAGGGCTGTAGTAGGAGCCAAGGTGGGTACCTCATCACATCCAGACCATTTTGGTTAAAAATTTGCTCGTCCGCTTTTCCTGCTCTATGACAAGGAAGATTTTGCAAGTGAGAAAGTCTCTCATAATTGAATAAAACTTATACAGAACCTTCACACTAAATGTTGACATAAAATAAATGATATCTGCTGTATGATTTTGATAAAAATGATTATAGTATAGCAGCGTTATTAGCAAATAAATATAAGAAATCAAACTAATCGTTTAGACGTAGCTAACATGGTCAAATTTGGCTTTGTGCAACTGGGTGAAGTGTTTTTCATGTGACTGGAATGTGATATTTAAAAAATACTTCTTGTCAGTTTTCATACCTTTTTTATATTTTGGTTGTCTAAGCTACCCTTTTATTTTATGATAAACTTTTTCTAATTACCGTACTTTGAGCTAGTTTCACATAAAGTATTATGTGCTAACAGGAACTCAAGATAAGCTGAAATAATTTTGTTGAAACACTGAGTGAAAAATCTTCTTTGAATATCATATTTGGTCTCCAGCTTGGCAGGATAGATGAAGCAATAGAAGACTGCAATAAAGCTATTGAACTCGATGAAAAGTACTTGAAGGCTTTCATGAGGAGAGCAAAATGGTGAGTCAATTTAAACTTAATATTAAACTTATAAAATGTTTGTTGAAAATCATTCTAAAAGACGACCGTTTGCTACAATGGTGGGGAAGTCCTTTGAAATTTTGTGAAGATATTAATAATTTTGAGGGTTATTTGTACCTGGGTACAAATGATTTTATGTCTTTCCTTGAAAAGAAACATTACTTGTTCCCTTTAATACTGAGTCTTGATCATTTTCCTGTAAATAATCAGCTTTTCCTTCTCATAACGGCAAAAAACTATTTGTTAATAAAACTAAAACTAATTTAGAAAAAAGTAAAAATGTGTATAAAATGAAAATGTAAATAAATGTAACGAACAAAAACAATCAGCAAGAAATTGCTAATCTGTACACAGAAGTAGTGGTTATAAAGTTCACTCTGTGTTGCCAATTTTTAAACTTCAGTGATTATTTTAGATTAAATAGCTCTTTTCCCTGAACACCGCAATGTACTGCATTAGAGATGGACTCAAATTTCCCCTGATTTGTGCAATTCCTAATTCAGTGCCACTAAAAGCCTGAGGTTACACTTAACTGATATGGATCAAAACATTTCAGGGATTTACTTACTTTCAAAACCAAATTTAGAAATTACACAACCATTTTCATGACCATACAGGTCATGATGTCAAAATGTTTGAATATTACCATACCAGGCGCGGATCCAGGGGGGGGGCCGAGCGGGCCTTGGCCCCCCCCCCCAAAAAAAAAAAAAAAAAAAAAAAAAAGAGAGAAGAAAGGAAAAGAAGGGAGAAAGGGAAAAAGGAGAAAAAGGGAAAGAAAGAAGAGGAAGAAGAAAAGAAAAGGGATAAGAAGGAGATCGGGGGGGGGGGGGGGGGGGGGGGGGGGGGGCCGAAAGGGCCTTGCCTCCCAGGCTGTTGCCACCCCCAATAAAAAAAAAATAAGAGAGAAGGAAGGAAAGGGAAAGAAAAAGGGAAAAGAGGAGATACTGGCGTACTGATAGGGGGGGGGGGGCTTGGGGGAAATCATATTCAAACGTGGTTTATTTCTAATTCCACAACGGTGGATTACAAATACTGCTGAAATGACATAATTTCCGAAATTTTTCCTCACTTTTTAGTAAATTATACGTTTGTATGTGTTTGTTGGAAAATGACAAATTCCTAAATTTACAACCAGGATAAAAATATGATTCTTGAGATTCCTACATGTCAGGGCCCGAGGTACGGCGGGGATCGAGAGCCTCGAGCCCCCCCCCCCCCCACTTTTCTTGAAAAAGTATTTTAAAGAGAAATGAAATAGAATGAGAGCAAGAAAGAAAAAATAGTTAACTGCCAGTGCTAACAAAATAATGAGGCATCAAAATATGCTCATCTGACCGTGATTAAATGCCTAAAACCCCTAAGCTTCCGGGGGCTTTGCCCCCTGGATTCCATTTAGGGCCCTACGGCGGACCCTTAGATGATCATCTGACGGTAATTTAATACCTAAAACCCCTGATTTTTCGGGGCTCCGCCCCCTGGACCCCACGCCAAATAGTGACTTGCCAGTGTCACAAAATAATAAGATATACACAAAAATATGCTCATCTGACCGTGATTAAATGCCTAAAACCCCTAAGCTTCCGGGGGCTTTGCCCCCTGGATTCCATTTAGGGCCCTACGGCGGACCCTTAGATGATCATCTGACGGTAATTTAATACCTAAAACCCCTGATTTTTTGGGGCTCCGCCCCCTGGACCCCACGCCAAATAGTGACTTGCCAGTGTCACAAAATAATAAGGTATACACAACAATATGCTCATCTGACCGTGATTAAATGCCTAAAACCCCTAAGCTTCCGGGGGCTTTGCCCCCTGGATTCCATTTAGGGCCCTACGGCGGACCCTTAGATGATCTTCTGACGGTAATTTAATACCTAAAACCCCTGATTTTTCGGGGCTCCGCCCCCTGGACCCCACGCCAAATAGTGACTTGCCAGTGTCACAAAATAATAAGGTATACACAAAAATATGCTCATCTGACCTTAATTAAACGCCTAAAACCCCTGAGCTTCCGGGGCCGGCTCCGCCGCCTCGACCCCACCAGGGGCCCTAATGCGGGCTCCTGAATGCTTATCTGACCGTAATTTATCGCCTTAAACCCTGAGCTTGCGGGGTCGGACAAGGTATCAAGATGTGTTTATCTGACCGCAGACGCGTAGCCAGGGGGGGGGGGGTGGTCCCCCCAATCGGAAGAGGACGTAGGAAGAAAAAGGAGCAGACAAAGAACATATTTGATATTCAGACAAGGATTAAGGGTATAGAGAACGTACAACGCTTCGTTTTCTTTCTCTAATAATACTACGTCAAAGCCTCGCGCAGGAGGGGAGGTGGGGGGGGAACTGAATTCAGACGAGCATTCAGAGGCGAGAACGGTAATACGAATCTTTAATGATTTAATGAAACGTAAAAGCTTCTGCGCTTCGCGCGGAAAAGGGGGGGGGGGGGGAACTGAAATCAGACGAGGATAAAGAGTCGAGAACGGTACAACGAATCGTCTTCTTTCTCTAATGATTTAATGAAACGTAAAAGCTTCCGCGCTTTGCGCGGAAAGGGGGGGGGGGGACTGAAATCAGACGAGGATAAAGAGTCGAGGACGGTAAAACGAATTGTCTTCTTTCTTTAATAGATTAATAAAACGTCAAAGCTTACTCGCTTCGCGCAGGAGGGGGAGGGGGGACTGAATTTAGACAAGGATTAAGAGTCGAGAACAGTACAACGAATCGTCTTCTTTATCTAATGATTTAATGAAACGTAAAAGCTTCCGCGCGCGCGCGGAGGGGGGGGGGAACTGAATTCATACGAGGATTAAGAGTCGAGAACGGTACAACGAATCGTCTTCTTTCTTTAATTGTTTAATAAAACGTCAAAGTTTCCGCGCTTCGCGCAGGAGGGGGGGGGGAACTGAATTCATACGAGGATTAAGAGTCGAGAACGGTACAACGAATCGTCTTCTTTCTTAATTGTTTAATAAAACGTCAAAGTTTCCGCGCTTCGCGCAGGAGGGGGGAGGGGGGGGGGACTGAAATCAGACGAGGATAAAGGGTCGAGAACAGTACAACGAATCGTCTTCTTTATCTAATGATTTAATGAAACGTAAAAGCTTCCGCGCGTCGCGCGGGAGGGGGGGGGGGAACTGAATTCATACGAGGATTAAGAGTCGAGAACGGTACAACGAATCGTCTTCTTTCTTTAATTGTTTAATAAAACGTCAAAGTTTCCGCGCTTCGCGCAGGAGGGGGGGGGGGGGGAACTGAATTCATACGAGGATTAAGAGTCGAGAACGATACAACGAATCGTCTTCTTTCTTTAATTGTTTAATAAAACGTCAAAGTTTCCGCGCTTCGCGCAGGAGGGGGGAGGGGGGGGGGGGGACTGAAATCAGACGAGGATAAAGAGTCGAGGACGGTAAAACGAATTGTCTTCTTTCTTTAATAGATTAATAAAACGTCAAAGCTTACTCGCTTCGCGCAGGAGGGGGAGGGGGGACTGAATTTAGACAAGGATTAAGAGTCGAGAACAGTACAACGAATCGTCTTCTTTATCTAATGATTTAATGAAACGTAAAAGCTTCCGCGCGTCGCGCGGGAGGGGGGGGGGAACTGAATTCATACGAGGATTAAGAGTCGAGAACGGTACAACGAATCGTCTTCTTTCTTTAATTGTTTAATAAAACGTCAAAGTTTCCGCGCTTCGCGCAGGAGGGAGAGGGGGGAACTGAAATCAGACGAGGATAAAGGGTCGAGAACGGTACAACGAATCGTCTTCTTTCTTTAATAGTTTAATAAAACGTCAAAGCTTCCGCGCTTCGCGCAGGAGGGGGAGGGGGTGGACTGAATTTAGACAAGGATTAAGAGTCGAGAACTGTACAACGAATCGTTTTCTTTCTCTTATGATTTAATGAAACGTAAAAGCTTTCGCGCTTCGCGCGGGAGGGGGGGGGGGGGACCGCTGAAATCAGACGAAGATAAAGGGTCGAGAACGTTACAACGAATCGTCTTTTTCTTTAATAGTTTAATAAAACGTCAAAGCTTCCGCGCTTCGCGCTGGAGGGGGGAGGGGGGGGGGGGGACTGAATTTAGACAAGGATTAATAGTCGAGAACTCTACAACGAATCATCTTCTTTCTCTAATAATTTAATAAATCGTAAAATTTTCCGCGCTTCGCGCGGGAGGGGAAAAACTAAATTCACACGAGAATTATTTTCGAGAACGGTACAACGAATCGTCTTCTTTCTCTAATAATATAATGAAACGTCAAAGCCTGGGAGGGGAAACTCGCCCCCCCCCCCCGCATTACGTCACTGTTGGTCACCATAACGTACCAATATTTGGCTCGCATAATTTCAAATTTGGGCCCCCCCCCCTAAGAAATCCTGGATCCGCGCCTGACCATACAACATGGTGAATAGGGGCAGTTTAGATATATTTTACGCACCACCATCTTTATCTCATCACCATTGGCAATGGTTGTGGGACCATGAGATATTCATCCATGTTCATTCTCCACTGCCATTAAAACATATACAGTTAATATGCAATTTTACATTTTAATTTTAGTGTCTGTTCCAATTCATCTAAAAATTGGGGTGACTAAAAATCATGATATACATATATATATAACTGTTGTTTCATTTGGTAAATACTTTACATATGGACCTGAATTAACATACATATGAACATGTTTGTTTACTTCTAGTAATCTAGTACTTTTTATGCCTACGTTACGAAGTAGCCGGAGGCATTATGTTTCAGGTTGTCCGTCCGTACGTACGTCCCGTTCTCGTGATCGTGTTATCTCAAGAACCGACTGATGGATTCCTACCAAACTTTGGTCATGTATGTAACTTGCAGAGCCAATGAACTGATTAGATTTTGGGGTCACAAGGTCAAAGGTCAAAGGTCACAGGGGTCATCATGTATGCAAAAATAGCTTGTGATCGCATTATCTCAAGAACCGACAGAAGAATTCCTATCAAACTTTGGTCATGCATGTAACTTGCAGAGCCAATGAACTGATTAGATTTTGGGTTCACAAGGTCAAAGGTCACAGGGCTCATTATGTATGCAAAAATAGCTTGTAATCACGTTATCTCAAGAACCGACTGATGGATTCCTACCAAACTTTGGTCATGTATGTAACTTGCAGAGCCGATGAATTGATAAGATTTTGGGGTCACAAGGTCAAAGGTCACAGGGCTCATTATGTATGCAAGAATAGCTTGTAATCACGTTATCTCAAGAACCGACTGATGGATTCCTACCAAACTTTGGTCATGTCTGTAACTTGCAGAGCTGATGAATTGATTAGATTTTGGGGTCACAAGGTTGAAGGTCACAGGGCTCATTATGTATGCAAAAATAGCTTGTGATCACGTTATCTCAAGAACCGATTGATGGATTCCTGCCAAACTCAGGACATGTATGTATCTTGCTGAGGCAATGAACTGATTAGATTTTGGGGTCATGAGTTTAAGGTCAAAGGTCGTGTGGCTCATTATGTATGCAAAAAAAGCTTGTAATTGCATTATCATTAGAACCGATGGATGGATTACCATCAAACTCGAGACATGTATGTATCTTGCATTTGGGGGTCATGAGGTCAAAGATCAAAGGGTCATGCATGTATATGAGAAATAGCTTGTAATCACGATATTCTGAGAACCTGTAAATGGATTACAACCGAACTTGAATTTGAAAAATTTCTTCCGTTTTGGTTTGTAAAATTGCTCTATGTCGGAGGCATCACTTTCGACTGCGCGCAGTCGAAGTTCCATCTAGTTTGCAATGGTTTTGGAGCTGCCTATTTACTAAATTCAGGAAAAGAAAATCTCTGACAGTCATGGCTCCCTACCATTTGGCACATTTTCCAATTATATGTTACTATTTTACCTTCCTTTAGTTACATGGACATGGAAAAGTATGACGAAGCTGTGAGAGACTATGAAAAGATATTCAATATGGACCGAACGAAAGGTATGTGCTCTTATTTGACATCAGAAGATGAACAGATGCATCTAGAACAGTATATTTTTGGGATGCAATTTATTGCAAATTTTAGGACTTTCATATCCTACTGCAACTAATCATATGGCTCTTTTTATGTATTTAAATAGAAAAGTTTGCAAGTATTTTTGGTGGTGGAGAAAAAAGTTACAGCTAAAAACGATTATCAAAATTCAGTACACATGGCAAGAATAATCACAATCCAAGCTTTGATTTCATACCTCTATTCACGAAACTAAATTGAAATCGCAGCAATAGTGATGAAACCAGATAGCAATTTCAAAGTTTTGCGAGGATGCAAATTTTGTATAGCTCTGTGATATGAGCTAAGCTATGCTGTAGTTGATTCCACACAGAGTCAAGTCTCTGTAACTCTCCTTGTTCTGATAGCACTGGCACTGTTAGCCTTGTTGTGTGGACTTGTGGCTGTGCAACTAAATTTTGATTTGATTTGATTTATTGGTTTCTGCATCTTTTTTCTTTTTTCCATCATACATTTTCATGAACATGATATGGTTTGATACAATATATTAAGTGTATATAATTTTATACAGACATTAAACAAAATTAAACAAATAGATTTAATATTAAATGCATAATTAAAGTTGATACTCTAAGACAATCCCAAATACTGAGATAATTACATAAATAGAAAGCTTTTAACCCCCATAATAACACCAAATGGTGTCCACCCGACAAAACAAGTTTAGAATAATGAATTTATTCGAGTAAACTTCACCAAAATATGTAAGTCTGAAACCCGGAAGTGCACGTAGAGTCGAGCCTCTATCCGTGACGTCACGAACGGGACTCATGGGCTCAGTGAGAGTGAATGGCAGTGATATCCCTACGTAAATGCTATCCTGTCAGAGCTTAGATTTGTTGTTGTTAAGGAGTATATTTGATGGATTTTCTGTTTTCATTTGAATGAAGAATAACGAAGCAACATTTTCCAGTCGCTGATTTCTTTTTATATCCTCATATTCACCTATTTGGTAGAGATTTAAGACGAGTTTACTGCTTAGGAATTAGAGTTAAATCGTGCACGTATGAATAGGCGGATGCATTATATTGTCATCAGATAAGGTACAGGAGCAGTTTTGTAAAACGAGTAGGTCTAGAACTATGATAGTACTTATCATAGATGTGTGTGACTGCCTCAAAAAAGGATACAGTACCAGTTAAACATTTTATGTTGTAAAATATCAAACTTGAACGAGATCATGCCAGCGCGCTTCCTCTATAATATTTTGGCGAGTGATGTGGCTCTTGCATGAACGTTCGTGAAGCGAGCAGAATCGGGGGGTAAGACCAAGCCGCTGCTCTAGGCGCTGCTTGCATGTGATGGAACGTACGTGCGCTAGTTATATGTTTATCGGCAATTGCAAGAGAATGAAAGCGACGTTGCCAGTTAAGAAAAACAACTAACAAAGACTTGCTCCTGACTACCGGTGTCAGAATTGGTAGATGAAGGATCTTCAGGGCCAAGGAAGGCGAAAGACTTGGGAAAAAGGAAGAAGAAACCATCGGGAGATCGCTGTAGTGTATGGTAATGAACTGTGCATGGGTAGACAGCTACTGTTCACTCCGTGCCTGGGCCGATTTCAACACCAAAACAAAAATTACATGGTGAAAATATCGACTAATAGCACATCGTTGGCATGTATATGTCATAATTTTTAAAAGGGGAATTGATATTAATACTATGAAGTACTAGGGGAAGGTAAAGAATTGTACATAGAATTATGATTTATTAGACTTTTCAGCCTTTGAAACAAAAATATGCAGAAAATCGTATCACTCTGCACATGTTTGCTATGGAACATCCGGGTACGTGAATATTCTCTTTCCCGGACGTGAGGTCATAAATAGTAGACCAGCGCCGTGACTGATTTTCTATGCAAAGAGAGGCGGATATTTTCGACATTTCAATTGAGGATTTCGAGTAGACGGATTTTTTGTGATATACTAAGTAATTGAAAAACTTAAAAATAACATATACTTGCCGTAGGTAACAAATTAAGGGACATTTATTTGCTTAGAGTATCAACTTTAACATACATTACATGCAGGAAGGCTACATAAATCAGCAAAGTAGCTTGATGTGCCCGCAGCCCTCAACTTAGATACAACAATAAAAAATAAAAAATAAAATAGAGTGACTTGCAGAGAAGAAAAGGAAAGGGGAGAGAAGGAGCATTGGTTTTCTGTTAATACAATAAATCTAATACATCTGCTGATTGAATGCAGGTTCATTCATGGATGGATAAACGATGCTAGGTCATGGATTACACATCATTGTTGAGTGTACAGTCACTTTCCACACGAACATGAATACAGTAGAATTACACACAGGAACAATACTTAGACAATAACATAGTTTTAACCACCTTCTTAAAAAGAATTACAATGTCCTAAGTTTTCTTATTACAATGGGCAGAGAGTTCCAGATGCCTGGGCCGGTGTGTCTAATGGATTTGAGAGCCAATCCGGTTTTTGAATTTCTTAAATGGAATTTTTCAGTTTGCCTTGTAGGGTTAGAGTGGATGGTTTTATTCAAATTAAACAATGTGGAGAAGTGTGAAGGTAGTAGAATTCATTATAAATGGCCAGAATAATCATAATCCAAGCTTTGATTTCAAACCTCTTTTCACAAAAACTACATGTATATGTCAATTATGATGGAAATGAACCGCAATTTCAGAGTTTTGCGAGGTGGTTCCTGGAATGAAATTTCCCCGGGCTTTTTAACTGTGCGCTGTTTGGTCATGAGGTAGCGTTACAGCATCTTCTTATATTTTTTACATGTAGTCCGAATGAGTAATACTCATTTTATTTCTGTGGTTGTTAACAACAGAATTTCTACGGATTACGCACAAGTTGAGGAATTTGTAAGTCAACCCATTTCACTCAGTCCCGTTGAGATTGACTTACGCAAGGTTATCTATATATATATACACACACACACACGTAATGTTCAAGAATGAGTAAATTGGCCTAAAGTTGTATGTTTATGGTTGCGTCACGTCAGCGTCTTTTTTCAACGTACAATCCCATTCTGAAGTACTGCATCATGCTATTATATTTATTTTGTAATTACATAGTTTTATGTAATATTTATCGTGTTTGATAAACTATATCGTTTCATCTTTGTAGAAAATAAGCGGTTACTTCAAGATGCTAAAATGGAGCTGAAAAAGAGCAAGAGGAAAGACTATTACAAAACGCTGGGACTACAGAAGAACTGCGGAGGGGAAGATGAAATCAAGAAGGCCTACAAGAAACATGCACTTCTTCATCACCCGGGTATGTATCATACACAATTAGTGCTTATTATTTGGAACAGATTTTCCGAATTAATATTTTTAATTTTTTTTTTATTGATACGCACATGGGCCATTCCGTGAAAAGGGGGACAAAATGCTCACTTTGAAAAAAGTATTCCACTATGAAGTGTGGCATACCATTTGAAAGCTTCAAACAAATACGGTTAAAAAAATGTTATGACTTCTCGAGGACCATGCCCATAAATATTTATCATTTTCACTTTCGTAAGATGGTGCTTCTGTAAAAAATAGCCTCTTCCATTTCAACAGCTAGAAGGTTCTTTCAAATAGATATTATGTATGTAGCATAATGTGTGTGACAAAGAAAGTCAAGTTTCTCCCACAGTTAAAACACTTGTAGACCATACCACTTCTTATTCTCAGTAGTAGACCTTTAAGAGTATTTATTCTTATATTCATAAGTTCGTAGATTCAGGTTAAAGTGGGTGCGTCGGCAGGTTTTATGTACAGAAGGTCATACTTTGCTGACACCAGACTTGGTTGGAAATGCCATTACTAGATGTACAAGTCTGTACACAGCAAACTTGTAGTCCACTCAACAAGTACCCTCTCAATTATTTAAACATTTGTGGCTTACACCCAGTAAATAAGATCATTGATCGATCTTATTTACTGGGTGTAAGCCACAAATATGTTTAAATTGAAATTTCTCCCAGGAAGCTTTACATTTATATAAAGTACCCTCTCGTCTCTCGGAGAGTCTTCGGTTGGTACAAATGTCAGATAAGGACTTTATTATATAGAGAAAAGACAGAGCATTAGATAAAGCTTGTTGGTCACAAAAGTGAAGGCTAATTGTGGTGATTGACAAAACCTGTTATTGGGTAAGCACCTGCATGGTGTCAAATTCCCCGTGTGACTCCACTTCATGTGTCTTTAACATTAAATAGATAGATAGATGGATAGATAATGGTTTTATTGAGAATAAAAGAACAACAATGCATCGCGGCCTACAAGGCCGAATTGGGCAATGTTTTACAAATGTAAAATACAGTATATAAAAACATTCATATCAAATAACCTCAAATTAATGAACTAAACTTGAATAAGTAGATTGTTAAAAAAAATAAAAATAACTTTAAAAAGCTTATTTCTTATTATTTAATCTCCCTAACTCATTTTATATATATATAAAGGAGATAAAGAGAAGTGAAGAAGAACGTGATGGTGGTGTAGAGTAAAGAAAGCAAAGAAAAGAGGATGGTAAGATTAAGAAGAGGATGAAGAGGAAGGAGAAGAGAGAAAGTAGAAGAGAAGGAAGAAGAAGAAGAAGAAGAAGATTCAAGTAGGGATAGTAAGATGATAGACAGAGGGTAGTGCGAAAAGTAACACTATCATAATGTATCGATATCAATATTCAAGCATTACACATTATACAAACTACTAATGATATAGGCGAAGTTATGAAGAAAATAAATACTTATGACAAATTGTACGAATTAAAAAAAAAAATTACTCTAGGTAATAGCTACTCTAAGGAAAACGTTATAACATTTCAACCAGACTATAACAATGGAGAACCATTATAAGAAGCAAAAGCAAAAGGAGAAAGAGGGAGAAGAGGATTGAGAAGTAAGGATAAGGGTGAGATGAAGAAAGGAGGTGGGAAAGTAGAAGTGGTAGAGGAAGAGGAGACAACTGTAACATTGGCCATGGAAGATAATTTCAGTCATTTAAACAATTTAAAATAAATGGTTAAACACAGTTTTTTAACTTCGGTACAGAAAATGTAGTGGTCTATTATACAGATACACAGATTAGACCCCAGTATAAATATAAAATTGGTATATGAATATAAATGTATACAAAAAAAATTTCATAAAAAATTGATTTCATACTTTGTGTGTATCAGTAATTGAAACCATAGTTTGCCATGTATTGCACTTATAGGATAACATCACAACTATAATATTGGTAGTATTACAAAAATAAAAGTAGATTTCTTGTTAACTAGAATTGTAGATGTGTACAAGTGATGGTATGGGGCTGTTTTTTACTCTGTTTGTTCGGCAACGTAGTTCAGGTAATTTCTTAGTATGTCAAAGGACTCTTTTCTGAGTAATCTGGGGTAAGATGTTCTTTAATTGGTTCCTGGAAATACTTTTTCCAATGAAAGAGGTGCACAGCGAATGTCTCCTTTGCTCAAGTGTTTCCATATCACAGCAGGTAAGAACGTTCTGGTAAGAAGTATACCGAGCACCAACGATGATGCGGAGGGCTCGCTTTTGGATTTTTTTCTAAGCTTTCGCATTGTTTCTTGGTGATGCCGCTATTCCAAACCGGTGTCCCATATTCGAGGATAGGTTGAACATATCCATCATATATGGTTAACAAATCACTAACTGGAAGGCAGTGCCTTTTTAAGATACGTAGCATGTGAAGGTTTCCATTTGCTCTTTTGATGATATCTGTAGCATTTGATTCCCATTTCAGGTCACTTTGGATCAGAATGCCGAGAAGCTTTATAGTATTGACGGATTGTAGTTCTAGACCGTCAACGCAAATTGTGGGTAGGACAGTAGGATTTCGTGAAAAATTGACTTCCATTGCGAAACACTATGTGGCGTTCAGTTTCATGTGGTTGGTCTCTGACCAGGAGGCGAGATCAGTGACGGCACTCTGCATGTTGGACGGTTCATCTCGAGTGCGACATTCGACGAGCGTCATATCGTCAACGTATTTGTAGGCGTTGATTCCGGTCGGTGGCGCTGCGTCATTAATCATGGCTAGAAAGACAATGGGCCCTAAGCAAGTTCCCTGTGGTACTCCAGCCTGCAACAACGACCAATCAGATAGAACTGATCTGTAACGGGTGCATTGTTGACGGGATTGCAAGAAACTCATGATCCATGGCACAATGCAGGGGCGAACTCCTAAGCTGATAAGTTTTGTTATGGCGATAGTATGGTCGATTCGGTCGAATGCTTTTGAAAAGTCTGTCACAACTATCGTTGATGAAGATTTTGGTTTGTCTGAATGAACAAACACTTTGTGTAGAATGTTAATAATACAGTGTGACGTTGATATGGTTTTTCGGTTTCCAAACTGCATATGATCCAAATTGGGTTCTATGTCGTTAATTACCCATTTTGCGACAAAACCTTCTGTTATTTTGGCAAAATGATCTGTGAGTGATACAGGACGGAGCTTCTCAACAGATGGGGGGTTCGATTTGGGGATAGGCACTACAATTGCTCTTTTCCATTCGTCAGGAACTACATTTTGTTGAAAAGACGAGTTGATTACGTGAGTGAGGGGAGTAGCGAGTTCATACGAGAATTCACGTATGATACGAGAGGGAATGCGATCCGGGCCACTCACGGTATTTCGCTTAACTTTGGCGAGGGCCTTCTGTACCTCCCAAGGGTAGACTGTTGGACTTAGTTTGGACGATGGCAGAAAAGCAGGTAGACAGGAGGCGTTTAGTGGGTCTAAGTCTCGTGAAATTGAAATGAAGTGCTTATTAATTACGTTAGCAATCTCCTTGCTGTCATTTGAATCTAGCCAAGGTACGGCAATGGGCGGCTGCTCCCGCTTCCCGTCTGTCATCACGCGAATCTCGCGGTACCAGGCAGCAGGGTTGCTCTTCTTTAGTCGCTGTACACGCGTTGGGTAATATTCCGATGATGCTTTTTCAATCATTCTTTTGATATTATTACGTAGACGTTTCCAATCAGCATTATTATGTTGGTCATATACACGCTGCCGTTTGTGAATCAGATATTTTATCTCACCATTTTACATGGTTTATCCGTTTGGTGTAGTTTCATTTTACGAGTTGGGAAGTGGACGTTGATGGCAGCATAGAGGGTTTTATAGAAGGCGTGACACTGCGCGTTGACGTCACATGGTTCAGTAACTTCTCTCCAATCATGTGAGCTCGCCCATCTACCGAAAGAACAGATTGCACTGGTAGGCATCGGACGGTTTATGCGTGTTTTTGTCATATTTGGCGTTGCTCTGTAATGTTTCGGCTCCCAGAGTAATGTCGCATGGTCAGATTGTCCAATCGGTGACAGAATTTTAACTTTGTCATAGAACTGACTGATGTTAGAAATTATTTTGTCTAGTGTGCGTGTGCTCCTTGTTGGTTGGTGCATGATTTGTTTTAAAGAACGCTGTTCGTGGCATGGGGTTGTTGTTGCCAGTGCAGCTAGCAAGCAAGCAAGCTAGCTACTTGGTGTAGGCTGGATAGTCGCTGTAAAGTGTATGCTTCGAGAACGAACAGCAGGGGGCAGACACTTCTTCTAAAAAGCAAGTGAAGCGTGAAGTCACGCAGCCATATGATCAAAGGGGATTATGTCTGCGCTTTGCAATGCAGACTTTTGACTCGTGCTTCGCAGCCATGTCTCAGAAAAGCTTTACTGCAATGCAAACAGATACAGACTGAACAACCCCTAATGTGTGTAACTCTGTATGTATGCTGATGTAATGCGCCATTTATAGAGGCAAATGAGAGATCCTGCTAGCTGATTTGAGGACACCAGTTCCCAACATGACCTGGGCCTGTAGTCAATACTCGGACTGAAGCATGGCAGATGTAGTTAAAGAAGAGTCAAAAGTTTTGAACAGGCCTTTCTTTTTTCTAATAAACATTCCCTCTGTCCAACACATAATGAATTTATAGAAGTATCTGAATAATAAAGTATCTATATTCCAATATATTTCATGCAATTGCCTCTTTAATTTGATGTGCTAGATCGTCATTCTAACAAGACTCCTGAAGAACGCAAGCAAGAGGAACTCAAGTTCAAGGAGGTTAGCGAGGCATACAGTGTTCTATCTGACCCAAAGAAGAAGATGAGATATGATAGTGGTCAGGATCTAGAAGACATGGATGGATTCTCAGGAGGTAAGAGCAACAATCAAGCCATCTACACATTTCTGTCAACAAAATTATTTTCTCTAAAAAATGTAACAGGTATATTACCTAATCCCCAGACTTTGCAAAGTGCAACCATTCAATGCTATGAATATTAGCCACTTTGTTTTAATTTTCAACTTTGTATTCTTAAAGAATGAGTTCTATATTTTTTCAAGAACAGTATGAACAATGAAAAAGTGAAAGAAATTTCTGATAAAGGTGTAAAGCGCTTAGAAACTCGGACATTCACAATGTATTAAGCGCTATATATATATACAATATTATTATTATTATTATTATTATTAAAGGTGGAAAAATTGTAAGTAAAGATCTCTTTATCTCAGTTTGGGAGAATATCACCAAAAAAATGCCTGCTGAAAAGGAGGCTCTTTGAATGCCCTTGTTTTCAAAATATGACAAGAACTAGCTGAATTGTTTGGACTAAACTGTCATGCCACATGTGCGTGTAGTCCAGTTGAAGACCACCTAGATTTTTGTTGATATTTTTGTCGCTGGGCCTGCTTTATACTATTTCATTGAATGATTACACAAACGTACCATCGTAATAGTAAAATGATACCATTTATTTTTTTAAAGAGCCCTAAAAGTGACCCTTCATCAAAGAGGGCTATACTGGAAAAACTAAATGACAAATTATGGTTAATTTCCTTACCAGAAAGGTAAAACTAAACGATAAAAACATCGCTCATACACCATTCTAGTTCTGTTTATGTGTTCTTTCTTCTTTGCAGCTGGCTTTGATCCCAACCAGATCTTCCAGACATTCTTTGGAGCTCCAGGAGGCTTCTCCTTTGGTGGTGGTGGTATGGGAGGTGGAGGAGGGATGGGCGGGGGATTCCCCGGTGGATTTCACTTCCAGTACTGAGCAAGGTTCACCCTGCTGATTCACAAACAACTTGGTATTGTGTCATTAGTTGTACCAGAAGAAAGAGAACAAAACAATGGAACTTCAGCACATGATGGACATAGTGGATAAACTGAATTGGCAGTAATGATGAGAACAGCTGCCGGTACTTGAACTAGATGACAAACTGATAGCTGTCACCTGACCTTCTAGACCTTTGTAGCACTTAATTTTATGAAGTCTGTCCTTTTAAACCTATGTCTGAAGTACTGTGAACCGAATTTGAAAATTGTTAATGGTAGCCATTCAACCCATAGCAGTTCAGAGTGTGTGTTATACATGTATTTATTGAATTATTCAGTTCCCCTTCCTCAAATTGGCAACATAACAATTAATCATATATCCACTCCTTGATAGTTCATTGAAAAAAAGTAATAAATTAAATAATTCAATGTGAAAGAAAATTTCTAAATTTACCTGAAATATTGCCAGTTTGTACGTGAAGATAGTGATTATAAATTTTACACCCGTTGCCAATTTAGAGACTTTTATTAGTACGGTAGTCACAATTAAGCTGCTCTTATTCATAAACAGCACAAAGTACTACAACAAATTGATGTGCTTTGTGCTCTTTGTACTCATGGATATAAATGTGTAATTCCTGGTATTCTTGATCAAAAGATAATGAAAAAACATCGGTAACGGGAGACACTGAACTGCTATGGTTTATGTGGGAAGATCCATTTGTGATTTGCAAATAGTAAGTGTTGTTCTTGAATCATTTTTTTATTATACAAATTGTGCAAAAATTAGGAAGTTTCATGTTGGTGAAATGAAATCAAGACACAAATGACACAATCAACAAGACAATACTTGAAAAATTACTGTGAAAATCAACTATTTAGTTTTAAAAGGTCAGTTCAGACCAGAAGCTGATGATTGAAAGATGTGCCATGTCAAATCATAAATAAAAATGTGAAGTACGTTAGCTAACACATGTAGCACAAGGAACCAACGAACGGGTAGCGCACGTAGTATCACAAGCTAAAGCTCCAGTTCGCTAGCTCATGATCCAGCATGCACATCATATTTACAAAATTTCAACAACACAGCAAAGTTCCGAAAAATTGCACATCACTACAGTAGCTGGAACAAGATAATGACCTTTGACCAAATTCCCCAGTGCTTTTCTTCAGAACCTATTCATATACAGCATTTTATCAAAGTCGCACCGATAGAAAGAGCATTTCATCGCCTATTTCTCTTCTTTCTATTGGCTATTTCTCGTCTACCCCAATTAAAGTGGCCGTTTCATCAGATGCCACCAGACAATAGTTTAATTCAATACAAGAACTTAGCATTATGTTTTACTTGAATTTGCTAATGTAAAATGGTCTGCAGACCATGTTAAGCCCAAGTAACACTAGAGCTACGACCAGTCACCAACTCCCGACGACCACTGGTCAAAAGTTAGTTGTCAGAAGTCGTAGAGAGGTTTTTGGTGGTCTTTTAAAAGTTATCAGTGGATGGTTTCTGGAGCATTTTGGTTGGCAGGAGATTTATGCTGCTGCATCCAAACCCTTTTGCCGACCATACTGATCGTGCAAAGATTTTTTTGGGGGTTTTGAAGGTCTTCCAAGGGTATGATTTTTCACTGATCGCTGTCTGATCCTCAGTGCTTTCCGTTTATATTACCAGGTGATATGTGGTTGAGAAATGGACGGCAGCTGATCAACAAATGTTATACCATCTGTCACCGATTAATCTCCGAACATTCGCCGAACACCAACACCCAGCAAGGAATCTAACTTGAGAAACTTTGAAAATGTAAATGTTGCTTCTGAGGCTGGTTCAAATTTTTTTTTTTATACTTCATAAAAAAAAAAAAAAGAGCGAAGAAAGTTATGAAAATTGATTACTCATGCTGTATCTTGTATCATGTTATTTTGTGATTCTCTATTCATAACATTAACTGTTTATACTGCTGCAGGAGCCTGGTAAAAAGACAAATGTCACAAATTAGCTTACAAAGATCTTTGATTATCAAACAATGTTTGTAAGAAATTCTGCAACTTATCGTCCACTACAAATTCTTGCAAAATGGTTGTCAATGGTCGCCGCTGTTTTCGGTTGTCGGCAACTGGTCGTATGCCTAGTGTGACTTGGGCTTTAGATAAAATAACACAAGGGTTATATCTATATCTATAATTTGCGGGATATTATAACACTTTTGAGGAAAAATGTGGTGTATTTTGATATTTTAGTGAATGATGCTGAGAGAGCATGCATTATTATTTTGTAATTCTAGTCTTATAAGTTTTAGATTTTTCACTATCTGGTCCTTTATATTGCTAAAACAATGCAAGTATTATGGCTAGCTAACCATCTTTTTATCTGAAAAAAAACAAACATTTATGCCCTTACATGTTTAATGCTGATAATCTGTTCCACATAAAATAGGATTGCTATCCACAGTTATAAAATTCCCACCTACTCTTCATGAAGCATTACCGTACATTCAGCATCATTCTTCTTCTTTACTTCTTTCTTCCTACCTTCCTCTCTGCTTTCCTACCTTCCTTCCTGTTTTCTACCTTTATCCTGTCCTACCTTTCTGTCCTCTTTCTTTCCTACCTTCCCTCCTTCCTTCCCACCTCTCTTTCTGCTTTCCTACCTTTCTGTCTTCTTTTTTCCTTCTTCCATCCTTTCATCCTTATTTCTTTCATATGTAGAAACGGTTGAATTTTAGATGAAGGATGATGATGATGATGTGATGCGATGGTTATTTTACCTGACTGCTAATAAAGAAAGCATAAATGCTTGTAAGTAAGCAAGCAGGCGGCCGACGGCTTTAGGTCCTCTCCGAGGTACCTGGTAGTGAGGATTAATGCCTTACCAAAGGGCACTAGCACATCGTCTTGGTTTCAAACCCGGGTCACCGGATTACGAGATGAATTGATTAATTTGGAGGCGTCTCGTTTAGATATCAATCTATATGTGAATTATGTATGGTTGATTTCATGTGGAAAGTCAGGACTTGGTGTGCAATGGGGCACTTTTTTGTTGTTATTTTCAAATTGTTTGAGACCATAGCGAGATGATAAACTTTTGTTTTCTGTTTTTGTTTGTTTCATATTTGGGTATTGGACGATGGAGAATTTTTATATCTATGTTGCACTGTTGTAAATCTTCACATTATATTTATATCCTGAATCATTGCAGTGAAGCCATGATCATATGACATTTGAAAGCATGATTCAATATATAAGCAAAGACCAAATGTTTTGACATATTTTTTCACTGGATGAGTTGAACATTGATGTTCAGAAGTAACAGTGTAACCATTTTCGATGGGAAGACATGCATGTTATTTTGCCAATGTTAAATGTTGATTAATTCTTCAGTTTTTTGACAGAAGCATGTTAAATGCAAAATTTCAATTGCCATTTCTTCCTACCGACCTACCATAAATTGTACACCTGTAGCTTCATACCTTTTAATAATGCAGAACTAGACCTGGTTCCTTGAACAACTGTCTCTGCTCATATTTGTTGTAAAGGTGGGTTCTTATTTATCCATCATTTAGTTTTAGAACTGTAAAGGTTGATGTAGGACTCCACCCAAATTTTCACAACGGTTCCAGATTGGACTTTTCTGGATTACTATTTTGGGTTTTCAAGTTTCACAGATTCCTGTTAGTGGGTAACCTTACTGGAATTTCATGTTTTTAATTCTAAAAAACAAACTATTTTATCCCCTTGAATTAGACTGTTTGTTTGTAATGTTTGCTCATGATTAAATGCCTTTTTTTGATGCCTCCATCAACAAAGTTGGTTCCAGAGGCATTATGTTTTTGTGTTGTCCATCCGTCCGTCCCGTTTTTCATTACCGCAATAACTATTGAACAGAGTTTAATCGGCCGTGATCAAGGATGAACTGATTAGATTATGAATAGAAGAGTTCAATGGTCATAGGGTCATAAAATATATTGTTACCATGATAACGTGAAAAGCATGAAAGCAATCCAAACCAAACTTGGATGGAGTGTGAATGAGCATGTAAGGATGCACAGATTAGATTTTGGATGTAATATCGTGAAGGTCATAGGGTAATAAAAGTTTTTAAAAATACCAGAAAATATGTTTTTGCGATAACTCGAAAATCATTGTAATGGTATGCAGGGATGAACCGATTGGATTTCGGGTGTTAGAGGGCAAAGGTCGGAAGGTCATAAAATTGTTTAAAAGATACTGGAAAATATCTTGTTACTGCGATAACTCGAAAAGAATTAAAGCAATTAAACCAAAGTTGGGCAAAGTATCTATGAGCATGCAGGGATGAACTGATTAGATTTTGGGAGTACATGTACATGAAAGAGAGTATTATAATTCTCAGAAAATCCCTTATTACTGTATTAACTAATTTAACTTACTTTAGAAAATTAAACTAATGTTGACCGAACTGGGCTCAAGTATGACAAAATCAAATGAAAAGAGTGTTGGTCATGAGGTCAGATATTAAAGGTCACAGCATCATTCAGTGTGTTTCTATTAGTTATACTGAAATTATCGCGTTAATTTTTTTCCTGAAAAATGCGTATAGTACCAGGGAATGGACAGTTTCTATCTACGCGTATTATCCAAATAAATACCGGTACACTGCTCGGATTTAGCAGGTTAAAAGGGAGTGAATAAAATTTCATTGAATTTTGGCTAAGGTCACAACAAAGTATTGTGGTACTGCTAGGTCAACCTGGGATTTTAGTGTCAAGGTCAAATATTCCAATCACGTGATCACTCCCATTTCCAGTTTCTCTCCGTTATCCGCACTCTGTCGGAACGGCGTGGGTTTCTACTTATGTTATCCAGTAAGCTTCCCCTGAATTATCCTTCTAAACGCAGGATAACTTTGCCCGTGAACAGGTCTCACAGGCATTAGCCGGATAACAGCAGAGAAGGACAGTTTCTATTAGGCAAAATTTATCCCTTATCGGCTATTAACCGGATAATGGCTTCTAATAGAAACATGCTGATTGATTCTTGAACATACCTATAGGTGGAGGCATATTAAAAACACATCTTGTTTTAGGGGTGTGTTTTATTTAAGATCAAAGGTTTTTTTTTGTCTTCTTTTTATTTACATATTTATATATATATATATATATACGAACACTATTGCCCATAAAGCAATCTAGGATTAATGTGTCTCCTCCACTAATGACTCATTAGCAACTTCTAGTTTCTAAGGCACAAATTAAGCAGTTGCTGACTCATCTCGTATGTCAGTCAGTCGTGGTCGTCACGGAGTTTTTCATGGCCTCAAATTACCGACCTCTCTATAACTTTTGAGGATTTTACAGACTGCACTCTCTGATATTTCAAGGAAATCAGCAATATTGGCTTGTTCGTGTCCATCTTGGCGGAGTGCAAGTAATCATTGGTGTATTGATGAGGCATAGCCTAGGGAACTTCTGTGTCTAACTTGTTTGCAAATTATACTACAAATTTTGAAATCATGGTGATCTTCTTTACAGCCTCTACAAAGGAAAAAGACAACATAGCAATGTCTTGCCTGTTATAGCGCCAAACTTAAGGCTAGGTTGTGTAATGGAATGTTTTGCATGAATGAAATTCACCCTGACAATTTGGACTCTTTATGTACTCATTACACCAGGTCACAAGTGGTTATTGTGCATTTTAATAGGAATAAATATGTTTGAAAACAAGATTATTCTACCTTTATGGGCAACAGTGTACCGGTATATATTATTACACTAAGTACATACATGTTTCTCAGTCTGCTTCACAGAAGCTCTGAAATAAGCCAGAACCACAATGAAATATATATGTGTGTATGTCATATGTGAGAAATTTTCGTTCTAAAACTTCATAGCATCAGCAACACTTGTGGGTTAAATCTACATGATAAGAGAAATCAATCAGATGAGAGATAATTTGCATGGCTTCAAATCCATTGTTCCTCATTAACTGCTTTCCTTTTTGTGGAAATAATTGCAAAGGTTGCAAAAACCGTCTTGACTTCCATTGTCTAGTGGGTAAGGTATATCACATACCATACCGCCAGGGCCAAAGACCAGTTTCTATTCCTGGCGGAAACAGTTTTTGCAGCCTTTGCAGTACAGTGTATTTCCATCCAAGGGAAGTCACTAAATAAAGGAGGAACAACACATTTGAAGCCACGCATATGATTTCTGTCATCGAATTGATGTCAAACACAACACACAGGCATTTTCTTTTTCCATTTCGAGTACTTTATATGTTTAATAACATTTTTGCATACAAAGTAATGCAAACTTTTGTTAAATGTTTATGAGACAAACAGACTTATATGTATTCAAGATTGCTTTAAAATAAATTTTGTTGGATTGTGTATAAAGTTTGTCATTACTAGAACTCAGTTTACCTCCAGTATGTAGACAGGTGTATGAATATTGTGGAAAACTTGTATTTACAGATAATATGTAAATAGTTGTGCTTAAAATGAATTGGTTCTAATTATTCCAGATGTTTCAGTTGTACTACTGAGATCTAGAAACTGCTATCTTTTATTGTAGCACTCTGAGAAAAAGATAGAAGGGCTGCATTAATTGCTGAAAATCAAAATACCATTTCGATATCAAGTCGATTAAAAAAAAATAATCAAAATCATTTTGTCTGTTTGTTATTTTGTCTATTTTGTTTTTTGTTGAGTATATTTGCAATGTGCCTGTAACTATTCTTCATGTAAAATAGATTTTGTCCATTCTGTTTATTTCACTATATGCTTGGCAATTTTTATTAATTGCAGTTGAATAAATATGAATATAATAATCTTGCACAACCTGATATAGTCACTGTGTTCCATGATGTGCACTTTTGGTTTGAAAAGAGAATTGCTTATAGTATTTTGTATGATTTAATCAGAAGGGTTTTATTAAGGCCATTTAAGGAAATATTTTAAATCTCATTCACAAAAATGAACCTTCGAAGGCCAGATATATATGTGAAACTAATACAGAATCAAATTAGAATGCGGCCACTTTTACTTTTTCTAATAATCAGCAGTTACATACAGTTGTGCTCAAAATTATTTATACCCTTGCCATTTTTTTGTGAATTTTTATTTTTGTGATGAAATGGAATTGCTAGTGAGCACTAATTTTATTTTGTTTGGTCCTCGAAAATATGAAAAATCGCACTCCCCCCCCCCCCCCCCCCCCCCCCCCCCATGGATCCGCCACTGGAGTAAGTAGTTTTTAGTCATTCAAACAAGTTCTGAACAAGACTGAATATTCTGTGTAACTAGTAACTACCCTCTCATACACATTATTTATACATGTATCTTGACTGCAAGAAATACACCTTTGGTGGCCCAAAACAAGGGGGAATGGAGAAAAGAAGGTACATTATAAGGGAAACTGAGCAGAAAGGAGAGAGAGAGAAAAATAAAAAAAAAAAAAAAATAATCGCTACCCAAACTAAAACAATTTAATTACATTTTAGGCAAATGTAAATCGTCACAAAGCAATGAATCGGCTCTAAATCTCATTCCAGACATTTCCAGTCAAAGCCCGGCTTATTTTTATGGAAAAAGGGTTGGGAGAATTTACTGTTAGAGGGTACGTGTCGCACAGTGACGCCTTCAGAGGCGGCCCTCCCGGGGGGCAGGGGGGCACAGTGCCCCCCACCCATTTTTTCAAGCACCCAAAAGTGCCCCTTTTTACATAGGAAAAGTGCCCCTTTAACTTTTTTAAGAAGTGCTCCTTTTTACATAGGAATAGTGCCCCTTTTACTTTGACAAGTGCCCCTTTTAATTTGTAAAAGTACCCTTCCCCTTTTCAACTCTGATAAGTGCCCCTTTTATTTGGACACGTGCCCCTTTTACTTAGACAAGTTCCCATTTTCCTTTGCAATAAGTGTCCATTTTCCATTCTCATAAGTGCCCTTTTTAATCTCTAGTAAGTGCCCTCTTCACCTCTGATAATTGTCCTGAAATCTGAGAGGTGCGTGCCTCTTTTACTTTGACAAGTGCCCCGTTTCCTTTGTAAGAAGTGCCCCTTCCCCTCTTAATAACTACCTCCATTTTGACTCGGATAAGCGCACCTTATAATTTCACATGTGCCCTTTTTCCTTTCTTACAAGTGCCCCTTTCCTAAATCCTAATGATAATTCCCCCATTAGAACAAGAGCCCATTCTCCTTCTCTGGTAATTGACCCATAGGTACGAGAAGATACTCCTTTTCACTTCAGATAGGTGCCCCCTTCACCTGCGATAAATGCCCCTTTAAAATCTGATCGGTGCCCATTTGCTTTTAACTAATGCACATTTTCCCTTATTACAAGTGCCCCTTTTTCATTCACATAAGTGCCCCTTTTCATATCTGGTCATTGCCTCTTTTCAGATGCGATAAGTGCCTCCGCTCGGTCGCCCCTGGACGCCTTCATAGAAAACCCTAAATATCTTTGTGGCTTGACGATTTTCAAGATTGTTTGCATGTTAGATGGTAAGTACAGTAGAAGGAATATAATAAGTAACATTTCATACAAAAATTACGCAGTTTTTCATCAACCTACAACAATGTTACCAAGTCACTTTTTAAAAAGAGACTGAGATGACTTCTAAAGAAATGACATTTTAGGGGATGTGTGAGTTTTAAGGAGAAAATGTGTGAAGAGCGTTGAGGGGCTTCAAATTTCTTCTTTACTGATATACATGTACAGTTTTTATCCCAAAGTCCACTTGTTAGTATAAAATGACACCATAAGTGATGAAGAAGAATTATGTATGCATGTAAATATATTTAGGAAAAACCACGAAAACGCTTCAGGCTTTGAACTCCAAATTCCATGACGGGAAAAGAAAATGGGGGGGGGGGGGGGTGTCATTGCTTTTCAAAAAGGGGCATGGGATTCTTGTGCGCCACCGCCACAAGCCCGCAAGTGCGTTAAAGTTTGGTTCCCTATTAAAGTAATAAGATCTGATTGATTGATTACACGCCTGAGGCTGTCAATAAACAAAGAAGTAAGTTTTTTTTTTTATTCCGACTTTGTTTCAATCGTGCAAACATCCAGCGTTAGAAGTATATTCCCCTCCACGTATCAATTGCGTTGAGGGCGCCATACTAGCATATACAAAGACAATATTCAGAGCAACCATGCTAAATTACAACACTATAATGCATGCAACAGGCTTATTGAATTTAAATATAATACTTAAATATCATAAAACTAAGTCGTGTTTACAAGGCTTTTGGATATGACACAAACCTGTGTATATCAAATATACAGGCTCGTCAATTATATTTCGTGTCGGGCATGTACAAACTTTAGCTTTGCATTTCAATGTCACATCCTTGGCCACAACAACAAAAGGAGCGTTGTAATTTAGTATATAAGTTTCATTACAAATCCGTCGGTCAGAATTGATCCATACGCTGTTCCCAACATACTTGCAAAATTGGATGCAATTTCCATAAACCCTTCCATACATATTTAGCATTATACAATGTGTTGTATAAAGAACATAACAAAAGCGACGAAACGTCGTTCAACGGTTCAAGATCATTAAAAGTGTAAAAGATGACAAATACATAAAATAAAATTGGAAGAAGTGAGTTCCGAAAGGGGCGGGTGTATTTTCACATTTCTCGTGTTTAGTAGTAGCAAGCATAGTTGAACAACATACCTTCTTTGACAAAATTTGTTAAACCTACTGACGGAGTTAAGGAGGTGGTGGGGGCAGCCAATCCCTAACCCCCCTGTTAAAATTCCATTCTACTCTCGGTTGCTTCCATGGTCATTAATTGCACCATATTTCACATTTGGTGATTTGGTAAAATCTACAGAAACCTGTCACTTTTGGAACAAATTTCACTAGGAGCCGCATTTTATTGAAACTCGATGCTTCACCGACATGACCGAGACATTTCGAAAGTTTTCCGTTTTCTTTTTTAATCGAACTTCATAACGATGGGTGGTTCTTTTGCAGTGGTTAGAGGACCTACATAGGGCATGTCGGTTGTGAAACTTGAGTCCACTGACCGATCACTTGTTACTGGGTGAATAGCTGTTGCGTAATTCCACATTTGAACCCGCAATCATGTTACTTTAATGTGTACATATTATAAAAGAAAGTGAGTACAGTGGAACACTTTCAACCCAAGCGGCATCCGAGAAATTACGTCTATTTGTTTGTAACTATTAAACAAATATTTGGATCTGCCCCTGGTTGGACCAGTTATTGACCGCAGAGGGAGCAGATGGTTGTTCATAAAGAATATAACACAATTCAACCAGCAATAACGTAAAAAATGTATTTCATATAATTGCAGTATATGGCTTAGCTAAACGTAGCTGCTGTGACCGTGGTTAAAGGAAGACCAATAAAAAGACATGTATTTGATGGTAAACATAATAGGATTAGTCACTCCCTCCCACATTAGCCTTCTCCGTTCACCCTCTTTACCATGCCGTAGTATATATCCAATGTATCTCTATTTCATTTCGAATATATAAATCAAAACATTGACCTCATATCACATTAGTTTATCCTAAATTTCTATCAATCATATTCCACAAGTTTCGTCAATTCGTTAATGAAAGGATTCTCTTCCGAACCGTTGTTATATACATGTGTAAATGTATCATGATGTATGTTACGGTAATTCAATATATTTGTTTAATTTCGTATATTATCTGTATAAAATTATATACACTTGAAATATTGTTTTAAACCATATTATGTTCATGAATATGTATTATGAAGAAGAAATAATAGATGTAGAAACCAATAAATCAAATCAAATCAAATCAATACATTAACAATTAAATGAATTTCATGCATTTTCTGAAATGGGAGAGAGAGAAAAAGCGAACAGTGATTAGGGATATACGGCAATAATGCTGTCCTAGCTATTTTAATATATCAATATTTTATCCAGTACTTCGTGGTATCACAATCAGTGGGAATGGAAAGGACTTGCAAAATGAAGATGTATTATTTGCGTAAACGCACATGTGGGTCTATATATATATTGATTCGAATTTCTCCTCTAAATATCACAGAAAGAGGCAGAAAGATGGACTCAAATTTCACAAGGTGCTCACGGTAAGACAGCAACATTGTTACTGAACTTCGTCTTGATCGTCTCTCTTCCAGCTTATATACGAAGCCAAAAATAGAAACTGATATATTTTTCTCCATTATACCAAATAAGGAGCCGACCCCGTTGAGCAATGACCAATCAGCGATGAAGTGAATAATGTATATTGGTAGCGAGTTAAACGGCCTCGTCGATTGGCTCGTAGCGTAATTGGTTTGTGAACAGGTGCATGTCACGATGTGATTGGTTGATCGTGTGGGAACAAAATTAACATATAAATGCATATTCATAGTGTCGATTCATGCGAGGAGACCTCGGTGTTTGTGTGCATGCGCTGCGACCGGTGCGAGGGGGGCCGGGTCGGTTTTTGCAAATCAGACTGGACCAGCTTATCAAAACATTTCCCTATGTCACTCTAGAAATCGGCTAGGTAACTGCTTGAAACCTGGTGAATTTCTAGAGCCATTTTCTTCGGTTTTCTTGACTCTTGATCGGAAATTGGACGGTGTCTAACTATGGATGCGTTACCCAGTGGTGGAATTTTCAATGAGCTGGAAATTATCGGTGAAACTGGTTGCTTTTCGGCTCTGCCTTCTGTGGAAGAATCCTGGAGTCAGGTATGGTAGAATTAAATTGGTGGAAAATTACGTTTACTTCGTCGTGTTCATGCTAAATTTTTATTTCGATCGCCTCCTTCATTATTATCAAGCCAAGTAGCTTACATTCTCTGATTATA